CTTGTCATCGATTTGCCGAGACGTTGAAACAAACGACAAACACAGAATAATTCCAACACAAACAAGGACGCTGAACATCGTCTGGATATGCTTACAAGCACCAACCATTCTTAGAGAATTATTGTGATAGTTGTTACACTGGAATGTCGTGGCTGGGAAACATGAAATGACAAAAAAATTAAAAAAATAATAATAAAAGGTAGAATGATAAATTTACGTACACTGGTAAACAAAAGGCAATAAAAACAATAGGACGAGACGTTTTATAAATCTTGTTTAGCGAACCTGCCGCCTGCCAATATATGGTAATTTTGAATAAATATAAAGTTTTATATTTGGTCAATTAGCCCACCCGCCGCCACGAAAAAAATATAAATTTAAGAAAAAAAAAGTTATATTTTTATTACGCCCAACGTTGCCTACAATAAGAACATTACTGTATTGACATCAATACTACTATTTCTAGTATAGTAGTCTACTACAACATAGAAATAAAATTTCCTATTAAACCATAATTGATTTGCCAAATTTTGATTTGACAACATATTGATCGGTGATAACTTACCTATTGTCTTTCAGGCCGATGTACGTTAGGTGCTCTAACTCTTTCTGAATGCGCCGCAGTGGTGTTGGCATGTCCGTTTTATGCACCACACCACCCAAGACCCTACACCGGTGCATCCAGGTGCGCATTCGGAAGCACTATCGTGCTACAGAGTGTTAATAGGTACCTGGATTAAAGAATTTCAACATCCGTATCCTGATCAAAAGTTTTTACCAGCCTTTTACGAGACGAAATTATACAGTACTGTTAAACCTGTCAAACCTGACGATCTTAGATAAGACGTATTCACACTCCTCATCCGGTCTTGTTTTTTTTTTTGTTTTTTTGTTTTTGTTTTTTTTTTCTTTTTCTTTTTCTTGCAGACCAAGACTTTCAAATGTGTCCAGACCTCCTGAGTACGTTTCTTTAGCCAATCAGACTGTAGTAATCCAATAATTTGCATCAGTCATCATGAATAATTCAACAGGGCGTTTCAATTTCCTTCAATAATTTTCGTGATGCTTTGCGTGAAAATTCTTGCACTGATGTATGTCCACTAATTCAACCTCTGATTACATTATATATAAATTTAGAAACATGGCTCTTAATGACGTAATTGTTCTGAAAGGTCCACTGATTAATCTCAGATAAGATAGTATAATACATATTCTAAGTATCGAAATGAACGCCATCGTGTCGGGATTCAATATTTCGACATTAATTTATGTCATCATCAGGAATGTTAACATACCTGGATTAAAGAATTTCAACATCCGTATCCTGATCGAAAGTTTTTACGAGCCTTTTACGAGGCGAAATTATATAGTACTGTTAAACCTGTCAAACCTGACGACATAGATAAGACGTATTCACACTCCTCATCGGGTTTTTTTTTCTCTTTCTTTTTGGGTTTTTTTTTTTTTGGGGGGGTGGGGGTTTGATTTTTGTGTGTTTTTTTTTTTTTTCTTGCAGACCAAGACTTTCAAATGTGTTCAGACCTCCCGAATACGTATCTTAAGCCAATCAGACTGTTGTAATCCAATAATTTGCATCAGGCATCATGAATAATTCAACGGTGCGTTTCCATTTTCTTCAATATTTTCGCGATGCTTTGCGGGAAAATTCTGGTACTGATGTATGTCCACTAGTTCAACCTCTGATTATACATAATATCTAAATTTAGAAACCTATAGTTCTGATTACTGGCTTTCATAATTTAGCACTGTATGGAGGTTGCGCTCAGCAGTTGCATTTCACGCTCTCAATCTGGAGGTCGGAGTTTCAAGCTTCTTTGTGAACTTCGCTTGACGAGCCTGGCGGCAAAGCGAAATTTACAGCGAAGCTACGGTAGGCGGGGTGGGGGCGGGAGAGGAATGCAAAGTGCGCATCGTCACTTCCCCACCCCCCTACAAAAAATCCTAAACGTCCTCTTTTTAAACCTATATTATTTCACTAAAATCGTTCTTAATATTCGCGAAACGCTATAACTTGTACTGGTTATAGGCATTTATAATGCGCCTCTTCCTAGAGGTTATAACAGTTCTTTTCTCTTGTCATTGAGTCCACATGTTTTAGGCCTAAGTGTTGCTGCTGATAATCAGCTCAGGAGCAAGCAACCCCAACAGATACCCATTTATACTCCTGAGTGGAGAGAAGAAATGTAGGTAAAGTGTCTTGCTCAGGGACACAAGCGAAATGCATAGCGAGGTATTGGAACCCCTACCTCGAGGTTGGGAAATCAAACCGTTCCCGCTGCGCCATCAATATGTATTGCATTTTTTTTTTATTTGCCAGCTCTTCCGTTCTAAGGTACGAATTTGTACGAAAAACTTCTCCAGTGATTACATATTATTCTATTATGTGCCGCTTCCAAATTGCGCATGCTCCTCTTCTCACAGTTTCGGGCCTCCTCTGCCAATTTTGAATTTGCATTACATTCTAAAACATTTTGCTATTATAATTTGAATACAGTAAACATCATTCCTATTAAGTTTCCTTAACAACAAAAATACCATTGCAGTATAGTGATGGCGCCAGGGCTTGTCCGACGGAGGGCTAAAGGCCTCGACGGGTAGGGGTAGGGGGAGCTAGTGGAGCGAATCGAGTTTCACTTGGCTAGGGGCCAGGAGGCCGTCCAGGGCCCCGGTGGAAGCCCCCTGGAAGCCACGGATACTTGACGAATTATAACTAATTTTTATTACTTATTTGATAGGCATCGAGCTACTACAATATGACTTCATGTAGGCTGTTTTCTAATGTCGAAATCAGCTTCCAAAACCAAAATATTTTGAATAAAACAAGAAACAAAGAGTATGCAATGTAATCATCTAATTTATCTTCAAATCCTCATTCTTGAAAGTAAAATTCTACATTTTGGAAATTTTGCGTGAAATCTATCAACCACGCTGTCACGGTCGAGGTTGCCTGATCCCTTCACGATGTATTCCAAGCATCATGAGGCTATCCAAACGAGCATTTTTTCATAGCAGAACGCAAATTATTTTTAATTAGTCTCATTGAACTATTATTATTATTATTATTATTATTATTATTATTGTGATGAAAAGTTAACACAAATAGTTTAATGAAAGTAAATAATTTTTTTTATTTGTTTATTCCCCGACAAAATCTACTCGTCTTCCCCGAAGGGGTGGGGGACTATGCTTCCCCAAAGGGGGCCTATAGCCCCCAGTTCCTTCCTGGCGCCACCACTGTTGCAGTGTACTCGCTGATACTTGGGGATCGGGTTCAACACAACGCGAGCTCGGAGGTCTAGTGATTATGACATAACTGTAGTTAGGCCTATCTGTAGGTCGTGGGTTCGATTCCCACCCAAATCACTTGCAATCTCAGTTTTTATTTATCTCAACAGTTACTGTACAATAAATGATACAATAAATGCCGCTCTTGAATAAATACCACTCTCGAACATGGGCCACGGCGTTAATCCGGAGAATAAGAGTATTTTGATATACCATCACGAAATTTAAATGCGAGTACATCGAATGTGTTTTGTTTTTTTGGTCTCAACAAAAAACTATTCAACTACCGATTTCTCAGAGATTAAATAATATGGGGTATGTCGACGCTATTCGTGTCAAATCTTTAACCCAGTCAGTTTTCTTCAAAAGATGTTGCTGCTGAAAAAACTTACTCCAAGACATGGAACTTGGAAGATGTCAGATGGAGCAAACTGTACTATACTGTAGTGTAAAGTTGCAACAAATCAGTACTTTATACTATGCGTTGTTGAAACGCTGCTTTAAAACCTCCCCATGTGCATAAACACCTTAACTTCATTTTTATAAATTACTGTAGGCCATAATATTGTATCAAGTCTGACCAAGGCAAATTTTACTTATAAATGCTCACTTAGTTCATTATCTTCAATGTACGTATTATAAAGCGGAACAAGAGTTTATTAATAACTAAAGCAGTGACTACATTGGGTGAATACCTCCGCCCTGTGTCTGGATACTGAACAATACACAGGCCGTCTATGGGCGATTCCATTTTTTTTTATGCTCAAGGGTAAGTTCAAGGGAAAAGTCGAATTTCGGTGACATTTTCCTTTGATATTTCTTCCCAAAATGTAACCATTTCATTCTTATTAGATTAATATGTACCATTCCACAACTAAAGTTGTTGATGATCCATTCCTTAGTTTTTGCGTAGGCCTAATGTTGAAACAGACAGGGGCGATTACATACCTCCTTGGCGGGGAGGTAATAATTACCACTACTGTACAAAAATTCACACTTTCACCACGAGATATTAGGATCAATCATTCCGGAACGTAACCAGAGTACAATGTATACAGTCTCGGCAAATACAATATAGTGAGCTGTACTAGGCTATTACCATAAACAGTAAAGCAGCACTTTGAGACTAGATGAGATCTTTATTATCATCACAAGCATTCGTGTACGCAGTACACTTCTTCAAGCAAAACGTCAAGATACTCTTTTGAGAACTATTTACGTGGTGCTTCAAAAACCTTTAAAACAATATTTAAGATTTTAGTGCATCATTTGACGAGCAATGAAAATTAACTAACTAACCGTAAACAAATTTAATAAATTTATATAAAGATGTAAGTTTATATTGTTAAATTTTAATGTTGATAGTTAGGTAAATTTCGTATCTTATTCTAAATAATGATTGTGCTTATAACTTTTAAACTTTTTAACGTGTTCATGTCTGTATTTTATGTTCTATCCCCAGAAAAGAATAGCCTTGGTTTAATTTGAGCTCATCGTGTTGAATTATTATTATTATTATTATTATTATTATTATTATTATTATTATTATTATTATTATTATTATTATTATTATTAGTTATTTCATATGTTATATATGAAGATTTGGATTCTTAATACAAACTAGTAAACTGTCTTAAGGACATCGGGAAAACTTGTTTGATAATAATATACTGTCGTCGCCATAGCAACTGGGACAAATGTAAGTCACTGACTTTTTCATAGTCAGAGAGCTAACAATCAAATCCTAGGCACATTGCAATGGTCCAAGCGTGTAGACACCCTTCTCTCCTGTTTCACCAGTATCTCCAAAACGAAGCTGCGAAACAGGCAAAGTTGCTTTAGTGTATAAGAGACAAATATACTATAGGTATATCTATATACAATATCAAAATATGGGTAGGGGAAAAGGGTCTAAACGGGCCCCTTAAGGGAAAATGTAATTTGATCGCAACCTGATACTGCCACAAATGTAATTAATTTAAATATTGTTAAGTAACTACTATTAAACAAAAACTCAAACAATGAGTATAGAACTACAAGGTCTGACTGTCGGGGTTTCGCTGGAACGCAATCCTATCTCAAAAAGTAATGCCACGAAGGGGCGTGTTCAGAAGCACGTAAAAGTAAAAGGTGTTCGTATCGAACGCGTGCTGCACGTCCATAGAACGTATGTTTGAGTTTCGAAAGGCAGCACGCGTTCGTGCAGCCTCTTACGTTCTTTTGAAGGACACACCACTTCGTGGAAGTACTTTTTAACGTTCCATTGCCTGCATAAAAAATAAGAACAGTCGGACCTCTTGCTAATAGATTTATATACTCTTTGACTCAATGGACGAAATATTGTCTAGAACCGATTAAACATAGGCCTACACTATTCAATTTCGCATTTTAGACATAACTGTGTCTAAAATAAGCCACTACTTATTTATGTGTCCCACCCCAACGCACAGTAGCCTAAAACGGGCGCGCCCCTTTTCGAAATTTTGGCATTAATAAAACAAAATTACACTTAGTAAGAGAAATTGTTGATAGTTTTCTCAATTTCAACTTGAAATTCCAAGAAAAAAGGCAAAACAGTAAAATTTAGATATTTTGTAGTAGAAATTGTGTAAATGGCTTCAACATAACCATAACAAAATGAAATTTGGCATTGTTATTGAATCAACTCTATGACAGAATTTGGCTATATTTTAGTTCTTGTTCCAACTAACAATGGTGGGGCTGAGGTGGTATCCATCTGCAAAGTACCCAGTGGTAGATTCAAGATGCGCCCAGCAGGCCGGCCGCCCTCACCCCTAAATTGTTTAACTTTTTTTTTAATGGAGTTATATAGAAAATAATATTCAAATTTTAAGTCTGGAAGTGCAATTTCTGGCCATCTAGAAGTGCCATAATCACAAATTTTCTTACCTCAGCCCCAACCATGGTGGAACTGAGGTGGTATAGATCATCCATTTGTAAAAGTGCCTCCTGGGCCCCCTCTATTTTGAATTCCTGGATCCGCCACTGGAATGTCATATTACAATAGCTTGATGCCTATAAAAAAAAAACTGATAAAATTCACCAAACTTCGTAAAATATCCGTAGCTTCCATGGGGCTTCGCCCTCTTCCCCCCACCGGGGACCCTTGTCGGCCCCCTGGCCCCCACAAGAACGTTCCGCCGCCGTTGAATGTAGACCAATTTATGATTATGGCACTCTAGTTGGCCAGGAATTGCACTCTAAGATTTGAATTTAAACATAATTATCTTTTTTCTCATTTACAATTTTGATAAAAAATAAGGAAGGTGGTATTTCCTGCAAACTGACAATAATAATTTATTATCTACTGATTAACTTGTGACGTATTCGAACAATCACAAAAAAAGACAAATAAGATAAACTTAAAAATTTCTAATTAAATCTAATATGCATGCAGGGGCGGATCCAGAAAAATTTCTGACAGGGGCCCAATATGTAGTAGTCCACACCCACCTCAAACCCACGATGGTTGGTGCTGAGGAAAGAAAATTTTAAGAACAGCCCCTCTAGACGCTTGGAAATGGAACTCTCAATGTTCCTCTACAAAATTATTTATTTCTTCCCGACGGAAGCTATGCTCCCCTTTCTTAGATCTAGACGCTTGAAAATGGAACTCTCAATGTTCCTCTACAAAATTATTAATTTCTTCCCTACGGAAGCTATGCTCCCCTTTCTTAGATACCCCTTCCCTCACGGGCGTCGCAAAGGTCTAATCAAGGATCTATATTATACTCTATACTTGGAGTCGCAAAGCAAATTATGATTATGACACCTCTAGATGCCCGGAAATTGTACTCTTTCAGAAATTTTAATATTCTATCTCCATTTTTTGTTTAAATTTTCACAAAATGTAGGGGATCCTGGCCGGCTGGGCACCCCGCCCCACTGCATTAATATGATATATATATGTCCTACAGTCGATGTTGTTATGTATCAACGAAGCCCTTTTGGATCGATGTGCTTTAGAGCGAGGACACTATGGGTGGTGCACGGAAGGGACCTAAGGGTCGATGGCCCTGCACACCACCGCATGAGAGTGCATAGGCGTTCACACTGAGAATGGCAGCTGTACATTCTGTAACAATGGCTAACAATCACCGTCTTAGGTCTCTGTCTTTTGGCCTTTTTAACTCTTCTCAATTTTTCTCCTTTTTTTAATTTTTTTTATTTTTCGGCGGGACTGACAGGTAGAGGGGTGTGGATCCGCCTTTGGTATGTACAGTAATTTTTAGATCAATGAAGAAGTTTTTCCTTTTCTCCTCTTTTTGAATTTCACTTTTGTGCAAGTGTATTGCTACTACACTATTGTGAGTGGAAATACTACCGTCAAATTTACGGTCAAACTGGGGAGATAGGAAGCACAATACAAAAACATTAGTTAGCATTTTTATTTCATAAACATAAATGTAATTTACTTAGTTTATCATAATAATGACGTCCATGGCGAGATTGCGTCAACGTAACATCGGAGTTCGTACACTTGTAGTATCACTTGGCTAACTTCAATAAGTCGAAATAGTTTGACTTATCAGTGTCAAATGCTGTATAAGTATTGTTTAATAACGGTTATATTAGGCCTATATATATTATATAAATTTTTTTGAAATTAGGAAAAACAGGAACCTATGTATGTAGGCAATATTAAACACTGGTGTATATACGGGTCTTAATAATACAAAGCAATAAATCGTATATAGGGGGCCTAGTAGAAATTGTGCACTTTTGAGTTCGTAAAAAAGTTGTCCTAATAGCAGGTTTACACAGTTCCAATTTTAACAACGCGTACAATGTGTTCACAATAAATTTAGATTTTACTAACAGTTACACCCATAAAAAAATGGAGTAGTTATTGAGATGGTTATGAAATGGACAAGCAATATTGCATTTTTACTCGGTTTTGGTCCGGACAAGCACCGCACTTGGAAGAGAGCACAAGTAAGGAGACAAGTTATCATGACAGTCATTCGTGTTGGTTTTTCCACTCGCTTTGAAAAGTTTGTTTTGAACTATTGGATTGGATTGGATTTATTCGGTGTAAACGCCAAGGATAGCTCACGAAAGTCTAGGAGAAGACTTATTCCGGTGGGTTCCTTCTGGTGATGATTGGGCAGTACACCGGGAGACAATCCCCTACTCTTTTCCGAAGAGTGTACTGCTTTCTTTAACATGCACATGGGCCATAATGCCAACGGGACCAACGGCTAAAACGTCTCATCCGAAAGACGGTGCGCTATTGTAACTTGTATTTCAGCCCTCCAGCTGAAACACAAAGAGATGCAGCGATGGGAATTGAATCGGGGACCTAGAGATCTCCACGGTTCAGCGCACAAACAGCTACCACCAGATTAGCCGACTGAGCTCCTCTCTACAACTATTAAAGATTGGTGAAAAGTGGGGGAGGAGAACAATCGGTATGATGTCCCCCTACTTTTAAAAGTGGGGGGACGTGTACCTCTGTCTCCCACCGATTGACGCCCATAGTGGTGGGGTTTATTTTAGCACCTTTTTCCTACCTCGTTGAAATCATATACTGGGAAGGTTAAAAAGACGGCGTGGAAGAAAATGGCCAGCCTACCACGTAATTCTAAGGCTTCTAACAGGCCATTCCCCTATGTTCAGTAATAAATACAGAACTACGTTTACCTTAGAGCATAATTTCCCCATGCTTATATAGACTGCGCTTATAAAGCAAATATGATTTATTTCAAATTAGGAGAATCCCGGTTGGGGAAACTTTTTTATTAACACTCGCAGATTCCTTTCACTTTTAACGTATTGACGTTCAATATTTATATATAAGTATAGCATTACCGCCAAACGGTTTAAAGTCTCCCCCACATTGTGTTTAAATGGTGAGTTGCTTCTTTTCGTTTGGGTTCGTTCGAGCCTTTTTGCGCGGGGCGAGTTTTACAAGCTTCAATTTCCAATTATTATTTACCCAGTCGTCTTGGGCAAGGTTGACTGCGCACAAGTCGAAAATTTGGCCTAAGTAATCAACAGTAACCTACATACCATTAAAATATCATTGTGGTATGACAAGACAAT